TTTTTTTCTGTCACTTATCGCTTCGGCACAAGGCCTCCGATTGAAACAAAACGAATAGCCACTTGAAAATCCAGGATGTTATGAAGCCCCCTTAGTGATCTGTACAAACGAGTGCAAGCAGCACAAGTAGTGCAGTGCTCTTTACTTGGAGCGCGTTTTCTACGACAAAAACAAGGGCCCTAACATGGAAGAGAGGAAGTGCTTTGATTTGGTTATTGCGGTATAAGCTGGGTTAGCAGATGCGCAGAAAGTGTTTGATGAAAGGTAAGCGAAACTATGAGTAATAAAAAAAATATTTGCTAATCGGAGCCTAAATCACAAAAAAGGTGCAGTAGTTTGTTTCTCATGAATTTTAGAGATTTTCCAAACATTTCTTCTACTCTTTGTTGCGCATCTTATAGTCAATTTTGATGGCTGTCCCTTGCCTATTCGCACAGAAAAACGGGTTTTATATGAATGTTTTGAAATTCATTATTCCCCTCGCAAACGCTCACTTTGAAACATCAAATCTATACTGAAGCGGGTTTCTGAACGGTCAGAGTGTGTACGGAATTACTGTAATTAAGTAGAGTGAGAAAAGAATACTCCAAAATTCTTATTATTAAGGGAGCGGTCATAATTAAGAAAGAACTAAAGGCTCCATTGCGTACCCATAAGATTTCTCCTCTTTTTCTTTGCTTTTTTCAAGGTCTGCTTATTCCTACATGGTAGCAGACGAAGCTTCAAAAGGTTGCTAAATAGCTTTCTTTATTCCCAGGATTTTGCAAGGAGTGTTCACTCTTTTGAAATTTCGAAAACGTCTAGCAGTTTAACGGTGCCCTGGTCTCAGAATACTTCTTCTTAGTCACAGAAGTACGCTGAATAGAAAAAAAAACTAGTTGAGATATTTATGAGTTTGAAAGCTCAATCACCTTGAAATGAAGGTGTTATTTGGCTCAAAATAATCCACTAGCAATAGCAGTTACTGCGGAAAAATCATGCGATAGTCTTACCCTGAACAGTAAGCCCTGGCCATCCAGGTAAAATGGGAAGAGAGTAACCAAGAGGTAAAAGAACTTGAGACAGCTGCGACATCGTCACCATGGGTTCGACGCGGATATTCAGTCGGTCCATATCAATCTAGAACGATAACAACTTATCTGTTACATGAAAGAGTTGCTAAGGGTTTTTTTTTTGTATTTTGAATGAAATAAATTGAATTGCGAGACGGAAGTTTATGCCAAAAGGAAATATGAATTTAGCAAACTTTCTAACGAACACTTTCAGGAAGAAGAGTAAGCATTAGTACGATGTTTCACCCTACTATGTTAGAAAAAAAGAGATTATTTCACATATTTCAAAATTGCCTTTTACAACTTTCAAGAGCGTCTAAAAAACGTCAGCTCACTTATTCACTCACATAAACGTTAAATAAAAAGTTATACATACTTCATATCTAGATTTTTGTTTTATTTTACAGCTTTTGAGAGTTTGAACTTCAATACGCATGGGTAAAGGAAAGTAACCTCCTTACCTCAAGTATATCCTGCAGCACCCCAACAGAAATCGGTGTGGTACCCTTGCTTGGAGTTTGTCTAGAGCTGTTGAACCAGCCAGAATGCACAGGAAGTACCTTCGTTCCGTGGCCCGATGCTGCCCATTCGCGCATCTGCATGGGGTATCATTCAGAAATTGTCTACTGTCCTTTTGTGTAATTGATCACCTACCTGCCTTTGGATGGCC